ATAAGTCTCCTGAAAGAAGGAAAAGAGACATATATTGGCTACTTATAACTTCATAGAGTACAGAGTTTTTCTTAGCTCATGAAAACTCATCAGAAATCGGTTCCCTACATATTTTTTTTTAAGAAAATGAAATTTTATTAGTATTATTTTTTACATTTTAGGATGCTATTGTGGAGCAGTTGGGAGGGAGAGGGGAAAAGGGAAGGAAATGGGATGGAAGAAGGAGGGAAGAGGAAGGGCAGGATTGAGGCCCGTGGCACCCCCCTCATTCCCACAGGGGAGACCAGGGGACTTCCAGCAGTGGCTTGGTCATTGCTGGGCTGGGTACAGATGTCAGAGGGGTGTGGAAAATCCCTCACCTCCCACCATCCCTGCTTAGGAATTGGGGCCCTTCTTGCTGCAGCTTGGTGGTTGTCACTGGGCTGGTGGCACATGTCAGAGGGGTGTGGCCAAGGCCTGAAGCTCCCCACTGCCCCTGCTTGGCAGAGCCCAGGGCATTTCCTGCAGTGGCTTTCTGGTCACTGCTGGGCTGGCTGTGCATCAGGGGGACATGGCTGAGGCCCTCATCCTCCACCGTTGGGATTGGTTGCAGGTCTCAGGGGGCACTGCTGAGGCCCCCAGCCCTCCCTCCGTTCTGGCTTGATATCCCAGGGGACTTCCAGGGACTTCTTTGGTGAAATGATACCTTTACTGGTTAATATGAAACTTTGTCTCTGGTTGCGGGTACTTTGCTTTTTCTTTCAGTTGTGTTGGATTATTTGCTCTTCCCACCATTTAAACTCTGCACTGGAACTAATTTGTTGTCCTTTGCTTACTTCTAAAATGGGGGCATTTCTGTGGGGACCAGTACTGGAACTGTGTGGCTAGCTAAATTGCTGCTTTTCTACTTATTCCCTTAGGAAGGCTTTTTGTACAGCTCAGGTTTTAATGGTTGACTTTATAGGTACTTCCACCTCTGGAGAGATCCAAATCTCTGGTCTAGTCCTGAGTCTTTTCATCAAACAGCACCCCATGCAATTCCATATTCCTGACCAAACTCTTCTGAGTGGTACTTTGCTGACAGGGGTGCAGATCAGCTGTCCTTGCTATGCCCTGGTGTTCTCCTGGTGGGCCTGTCTCCTCACCACTGGAGCTGCAAACACTTCCCATGGGACTGGCTGTACACTGGTCCCTTGCGATGACTCACTGTCCTCAGAGTGGCTCCTTTTCTTCAGTTGTTCTGGCTCCTCACTTCTATGTGAGTCTACGGGAATCCTATTAGTGGTCTTCCTGGCCTGTGGGCCACCAAGGCCCTCTTCTCTCCTGCTGCCTCCAAGCAACTTCATCCAAAGGGCACAGCTGCAGCTTTTTCCTGCTCCTGCTCTGAGGGCTCAGCAGCTCCAGCCTGGATATGGCCAGGGCTCAATACAGTCCAAGCGGTTTATTTTTTCTCTCATCATGGCTTCTCCTGCCTTCATGCACTCCGTAGGTCTCTCCTCCTCTTCCCCTGAGTTCTAGCTGCCCCAGCTCGGCTGTCATTGCAATTGGTTGATGTGTGGGAGAGAGTGACACTGGGGATCTTCTATTCTGCCATCTTGACCAGAAGACTCCCTACATATTAAATGCAAAAAATAGAAAGCACTGATACATTCTAGCATACATGCTAGCAAATCATAAAAATGAATTGCAATATTAGATTAAAATTTTAAAAAGTTGATATTTCAGCTTTTGATCCCACAAAGGGTAGAAAAATAGAAATTGTGGATGTTGATGAAGTAGTAAATGATGCATTTTGTTTGAATACATGGAAAGGTCAATTTTTTCTTTACTAAACTTGAAAATAAACAAGGACATATTAATACATTTCAAATAATTTAGTAATTCTTTCTAAAATCATGACAATAACATACCAATAATACACAGTTGGTTAAGAGCATAAAACCAGAATGCCAGGGTTTAAACCTTGGCTCTACCACTTACTGTGTGCATGTAGACAATGTAATGAATTTCTCTGAGCCTCAACCTCACCTGCAAGAAGGGAACAATGATAATAATAGTATATATTTCATGGGGCTGTTACAAGGATTAAAGAGTAAATATAGGGAAGAATTTAGGACATTTCATGTGCTCAAAAAATGTAAACTACTTTTTTGATTTTTTATTGTACATATTTGTGGGGTACAATGTGTTGTTTCTAAGTAAACAAGAAATCCATTGCATATGTGACTTAATCACATTGATTCTGTGCCCCAAATCAAAAGTGTTAAGATGCCACAGTATTTCCATACAACAGCCATTTGGAAGTCAATTTTTTTTTTTTTTTTATAATCATCAAACATTTACTGCATATCGGCCACATTCAGGGAGTCTCTTGGGCACCAGGCAAATTATCCAAAGAACTGTAGAACTGAAAGGAACACAGAACATGTTGGACAACTTTCTCCTTTTGTAGGTGAAGATACTGATACCCATAAAATGACTCAAGAGCAGAGAGAAAGCAAGGTCACTGGCTCTGGCCAGGCAGAGAATTTAGATTTCTGTTCTCCACATCCCTCTGCTTAGTGTTTACAAGGTCCCTGTCTTCAAGTCACGGCCAAGTTACTAGAAAACTTGCTTCTTTGTAGAACAGCTAATGGATTTGATTCTAAAGGTATTGTTATGGCCTTTTATAAAGTTGCATTGAGACCTGCAGAAGGTACTGTCTACAATTCTACTAGAGATACAGCACTATTAATAGACAAAAAAAAAAAAAAAATATATTGATATCCATAGCCCTATCTAAAGTTTGAGATGGAATCATTATGTTTCCTGATTAAAGAAATTGCTTTCCTTTGGTCAATCTGCCCCAGCTATTATCTGAGAACATCTTATCAAAAAGTGCTGGGTGACATGTTCTAACAAGAAAAGATGAATTTGTGAGTTATTAGAAAATGTTGGTTGAACCTCTATTTACAGTAGAAAAAAAACGCAATAAGATATTCTTGAATTCTGGCATATTTCTTGGAGAGCTGGCAGTTTTATTCTTTTAATCAATCAGAATATTTGTATGATCTATCTTAATTTTACTTTATATTCACTTACAATTAGAGAACAATCTTTCCTTAAAAATAAAGAAGAGAGCTAAACATCTAACTAATGAATATTATCTGTATGGATGTCAAACCCAGAATTCTGTGGGAAATGTCACTTGTTTCTCACTTGCTATTTTAAGTTGAAATTTCTGATTAATTACCTTAATCTCCAATTCTCTCTGTTTATATAAATTCAATCACAGAAAGGCCAGGAATTAACAAGCATTTCAAATGGAGGGAATTTCCGTACATCCTTGATTCCAATTTGACAAAAAAATTTTTTTTTGCTATTTCTTAATACCCATTTGTATCATTCTAATTATTAAAAATAACATGCACACTGAAATAAAAATCTGGCACAATATGAATGTCCAAATAATATAGACACAACTTTCCTGTTACTCTCCTCTTTCTTTGCCATACTAGAATGATGGTAGACCATCCCCTTCCCTCATGGAACTTGTTGAAGATTAAACTGTCTGGTTCAAGTAAAGGTAGACAATATCTTTGGTGGTAATAATTCAGATCCTTGTTTTAATGGTCATCAATGTCAAATGTGAAAAAATAGAGTGAGAGTAGAGTTTAAGAGAAGACGTGGAGTGGAGATTCCTGTGAATGTG